CTGCTGCACTGCTAATTGCAGGAAAAATGCAAGCATGCGTTATGGTCCAGGTGCTGTTTCTTAGCCAGGTTGGCACAGGTCATGAACATGCGAAACATATCAGTCTCAGCACTCCAGATACTGTTATTATCAAGCTGTGGTTAGGGACGTATTTTGGTTACCTAGTCTGTTTGTGAGCGACGGTAAACGGCCGAAAACTCCACATAAGTAATGGGCAGCAAAATAGCTCACGGCACTCCATTTCTGTAGTTTTTGTCACGGATCTTGACCGCCAGCTCTCGAGCCAGAGTTTTGAATTGGAATTGATTTTTAACCAAGCTGAAATAAAGGTTGGTACTACATCTACGGTACTTGCTTTGAAGATCTGCACTCAGAACTAGTTATCGCAGACTACAGCGATGGAAGTTTTGGGGGCAAGCAGTAAATCTTTGTACGAAATGATTCAACATTACAGACATAGCTCCACAAAGCGGTCCCGCTGCTCAGAGTTGTTAACAGAGCGAGAAAATTTGTCACATTCCATGGATAACATGACGACAACAGAAACAGACTGAATTAGCTTCCTTTACACGGCAGCGTTTGTTTAGGTCGGCCAGAAACAGACGAACGGACACCGGTATACTGGCGAAGGACAAGTTTTCAAATTGGACTGAAAAAAACTACTGCTCTGACCAAGTACCGTGTTCAAGCTTAATCACTGCAACAGTAAGGAAATTTCTGACTCTGTCCAAATAGAGCGGCTGATAAAAAAAGCACAGAATGCTATTAAAACACACCAGTCCCGATCTAGAAAAAAAAGATTATTTCGATCCTTTTCAAACGGTGAAAATTTTGAACCAACTTTTAAGCGGTTCAGGATCAAAAATGCCGAAAGTCACAAAGTAAGTATACGAGAAATTAATCGAAATCGAAACTTTGCACAGAAGTGTAACTGTACAGCAGTCTGTCCGACTGTTTGTGGAATTTGTTAAACATGCGTAGCGAACCTTCCATAAACCCAGCCTGAAGTCTGAGCTGCCGAGAGCAAACATTACGGAGTTACGAAAGCATTAAATCTTCTATCAAGAAAAAATTCTACAGACCTCATTCTTCACGGCCAACGCGATACTCCGAAAGGCCTGTCCCTGACAAAAAAACACCGGCTAACATGGCAGCAACAACCGGGGGCTGACTGATCTCCAAGTGAGTGTAACGCGACCAAGAGACTGCATACGTTACCATGCATAGCATGCCCGATGATATGATCAGTCGAACGAATGTCGTAGTTACCACGGTCCGCATTTGCGACCAAAGGACAACGCAGCCACATTAATGCGAGAACTAAACCAGTTTGCACGCAGAAGGAACTATGCATTAATGCGGAGCAGTCTGTCTTCAAATCTGTACGGGCACTACCTTCACATATGGTAATGAGTGCTGGATGTTAACCAAAAAGTGCGATAAGGTGTACATGAGGCAGAAACGAGATTACTTAGCAAGACTGCTGATTTCTCCCTCCCGGCTGGACATTTTTTGGAACATGATTATGAGTCACGTTTAATCCAGATCGACAGAAGTCAATTACCATAGCTTAGACATGTGATCAGGATGCCATAGGACAGATTCGCAAGGCAGACTATCGTACCAGAAACACACAGAGGACAGTCAGCGGTAGACAAGGATCAGAAAGCTAGATTACGTAGATCGCCGCCGTTGCTGGTCGAAAATCCGGATGAGAAAGGAGAAAGGTTGCGGACTGTGGCGGTCCCCCCCCCCTACCGCCCCGCAAAACTTAACCACTTGCCCTTCGTAATATTGATGCTTTCATGTGTGCCATCGTCGTGCGCATTGACCACGCGGCAGCTGGATTTATTGCTGGTTCGTTGTTGTTCGTTCAGTCGCAAACTGTAGAAGTATTCAGAAGAGCAGACGTGGCAGAGGACGCAGATGGCAAACCGCTGCAAAACAGAACACCCACCGAAAGGCTGCATTTCCGGCGATAGTTTCCACCAGCCGTTGCGCCATTCCGCAAAAGTACGACGAGTTGAAGACGCTTCTGGCCATACCGCTTTTCGGCAAGGTTCATTCTCTTACTCTGTATCATTCTCTTGCTAGAGATTCTCTCACCCTGCACTTGGCTGCATCACGTGGGTGATGAGAACCCCCCTCGGTTTGGAATACTTCGCACACTGCCGCATTGATCGTCCCGGATGAGTACGTGAATCAACTCGGCTTGTCGTGCAAGCTGATCCGAACAGTTTCAAGTTCTGCGAGGACGATCAACAGTGTCTCATCGAGCGGTCGAGCAATGCAAGCCAAATAGTTTACGGAAACAACTGGTTTTCGTTCGAAGCCCCTTTTGAAACTGCTTGGCGGAATCCGTAACTGCGGCGCTGACGAGTTTGGGAGTATACTTACCATACGTTTGATAAAGATAACAATCGCACTGCGCAGTATTATTCTAACTCACCCAAACTCACCCGTTGTACTGGTGTTTCCAGCAGTTGCCTTTCGAAGCGACTACGCACATGCTCGGTGTACGTTCGTTGCAGGGGCCGGACTCAGGCTTACCAACTGTCAGTCATTCCGTTCGCTGTCCGATGTCCGATGTCCGATGTCTGGTCGATCCCAAGAAAGCAGAACAGTTATGTTTGATCAGACTCTGGTCAGCTTGATCCACCCTTCCACTGTCTGTTTTTTACTTGTTCATTTGTTATATTCAGGTTCGGGTAACTTATCGTGTACCATAAGATTCAATTAAGTAAATGTCACTGACTGACTGACTGATCTGGCATTGTCGTTCTCCAGAATCTAGCCCATGGACCTTGATCGATTGTCAGTGATTCGCTGCCATTGGAAACGACTTCAGAAGCAGCTAACTCCAGTGACCCAAAACGGGTAGCGGATAACGGATATGAACGAATGAAACAGTGATCAGGAAGCATACTACTAAACTCCGCAGAGCAAGTAACGTCTAAACTTAATTTGACCGTGTTTCCTACTTAATCATTGAATAAAATTTCGTCGTTTAACCGGACGCTTAAATATTATCGGATATCTACAGATAATCATCTGATCTTAAGAAGAAAAGATACGAAAGGACCTGAAAATTTGAAAATGCAATCGTTCGACTTTTGAATTATTTTCAATTTCGGAGCTCTGTCATTATTTTATACGCGAAGATTCCCATCCTATGTGAAAAATTTTTAGATCCGACATGCCAATAGACAACAACGCAGTACAAGAAAACCAATAAAGACCGTCTTACCGAGATTTGAGTACGACCTCGCGAATGGTACGCATTTCTTACTTCAAGCTTAGGTCTAGGTAACATCCTTCTGCAGAAAAACAGATGCAATCACTGGTGACCTTACACAATATACAGTTCATTATTAAAGAAACTAACGTACACGTTTTGTACAACTCGTGGCAACAGTAGCATCGAACTCTTGTCCTCGATCGATAAAGCGCCCGTACGTAAGTAAGTTTAGTGATAAACGCATCCAACTGTAAATGGGTAAAGCCGATATGGCAGAAACTGCACTGGTTCATTTCCAAGTCTTCACGTGGATTTTGCCTTCCGAAATTTGGCGTATTCTTCTGATATCGTACACATTCGGTATCATCCTTAGCAGAGTAATACTCGATATCTGTAGGAACCTCCTCGAAAATCTGAAGATGCATATAATCTACCGATTCCGTTAAAACTACATATGATCGTTTAGATTGTTAACTGCTTGCGCCCAAAACCGTTGAACTGGAACCTTTCAAAATCTGCTACTTCTTGGCGTAGAAACAAAATGCACTTTCGAAATTATAATTATTTCGCGCTTTTTTTAGACAAGTCGTTTGCTTTACGCGTCTCGGCATGGTCCGGAATAGTGACATCCGGAAGAGCCTTGGAATACAGCCTTTGCTTCCCCAGATTTAGAAGTCACAGCTGCGATGGCTTGGGCATGTGTTGCGAATGCCTCCAGAAAGGAAGGCTAAG